CACCTCCTGCAAAGCCCTTGGAGAACTAGGCCAATACTACAGTGAATCATACTCCCCCTCAAAGCGGTGTGGAGTTATCTGACTCACTTCCTCCTAGTGTTGTTTCATTATGGGTTAGCAGAACAGAAAAGGCAGGTTGGACTCTCTAAGCTTGCAAGTTAGTTCTGGTTCCCAAATCATATCATGCATCTCTTCATTTAAAATGATAAATCAGCCCACTCTTTGTGGCAGGCCAGCTGCTGCTCCAATATTAAAATGAGCAAGAAAAGCAGATAACTGGATTGTTGAAGTCAGTAGCTATGCTGCATGAGTACACTAAGGCTCCCTTTCATGTGAATTTGGAAATCTTCCTCATGTGAAGCAGAAAGTGTTAATGACATCAAATTTGAGTATTCTAAAAGGTAAAATACATAGAGTTTAAAGCTTGAACTAGCACAACAGATATAGGCAGCAATTGTTACTTGACCCAGGAATGAACCATAAATCATGACTCTTAATTAATACAGTTACCTCAGCCTGCATTAAACAGTTGTCCTCAACTTATAGCCATTTGTTCAGCAACGGTTCAAAGTTACACAAAATGACATAAAGTCACACTTACACAAAGGGACTTCTGGCCCATGCCCAAAGTTACAGCCGTTGCAGCACCCCATGGTCACATGATCAAAATCCAGGCACTTGGCAATCCACTCTCACATACAACCGCAGGGGCAACTTCACCCACCTACCTAGCTCCCCCTATTTGTTTCCTTTTACATCCCCCCTCCCGCCACTCTACATTCCACCACCCTAGCTAGCTTTTGCCACTGTCTTCTTGCCCCCACTGCTGACAAGATGTGCCTGACCCGGCTGCTGGACTTAAAAAGCTGGATTCACACAATGAAAAAGCAAAAAAAAGCAAAAGTAGCTTAAAGGGGCCGCAGCACACCAAAACTCCCCTTTGCATCATATTCCTGGGCCACATGGAGCTGGTTTTGCACTGCATGCATTTCAGCGTGGAGCTTTTTCTGTCAGCTCCCCGAGATGAGAGGACTCCGCTACACTCTGGGGCTGGCAGAAAAACTGCATGCCAAAATCCAATCTTGGGTATTTTCAATATGGGGTGTTTTCAGCACCAGACTCTAGAGGACTCTCATCTCTGGGGCTTTTACTGAATCAAGGACTTCTCAACTAACTACAGTAGTCCTCAATGTATAACCACAATGGAGCCCAAAATTTGCTGCTGCTAAGCTAGACATTTGTTAAATGAGTTTTGCCCCATTTTATGACCTTTCTTGCCACAGTTGTTAAGTGAATCACTATGGTTATGTTAATAGCTCAGATGTTAAGTGCATCTGGCCTCACCATTGACTCTGCTTGTCAGAACGTCACAAATGTAATCAATCACATGACTCCGGGACACTGCAACCAGTTGCCAAGCATCCAAACTTTGATCACATGACTATGGGGATGCTGTAACAGTCATAAGTGTGAAAAATGACCATAAGCCACTTTTTCCAGTGCCTTTGTAACTTTGAACAGTTACTAAACCAGGGGTAGGCCCACCCCTGCACTAAATGAATGGTTGTAAGACCTATAAATGAGTTAAATAAATGAGAACCAGTGAAATAGGGTGGAGGAAGTGAATGCATTTTCTTGAAAGATACAGTGTAAATATGCTAAACCTATTTATCTGGATTTATTTATTTATTTATTTATTTATGAGACTTATATACCGCTTAAGTGCAAGCACTCTCTAAGCGGTGTACACCAGTAAGCAATGTATATATATATTTACATTGCCCCCAACAATCTGGGTCTTCATTTTACCTACCCCGGAAGGATGGAAGGCTGAGTCAACCTTGAGCCGGCGAGATTTGAACCGCTGACCTGCTGAACACAGTCAGCTTAAGTGGCCTGCAGTACTGCACTCTAACTGCTGCGCCACCTCGGCTTGTTCTCATATGTTGCCATTATTCTAATAAAGTTTAATATTAAACTAGCCTTCTCCTTGTTTGTTTTCTAAACCATTTCTGAATGTACTGTGCCAATTTTAAGATCTCACTGTGATGGAGAAATACTTGTCTGGAGATATTTTGATAGCCTAGTGGGTATCCTTCAATTAAAATTAGATAAAATGCAAAGATGTTGAGGCAGTCATATTCTAGGAAATATGCCTAAGGAATTTTGTCACTGTGCTACAATCTTTCAATCCCACGAACCTTCCCAGCAGCATGGTTAAGCAATCAACAGATAAGAGAGTACTTAAGTAGCAATCTACACAAATAAATTGCCATCCAATATGCAGTTATCTCCTTTCCTGCCATACCATTAATTAATACTCAGAACTGGCAAGGCCACATTAAAAGGGCCCACATTCTTTGAAATTCAATTAGCAAGTAGAACTGTTTACTTGGCATCCAAGCTTCAACATTCCCAATATAAGATTTTTCTTTAAAATTGAAAACTGAATGTTGCTTAGGAGGTTTATATAGATAGTATGACTCTGCATATCTGCTTTCAGAAACCACAGGGAGGGAGGGATGTGAAATACTGTCCCATACCTTTCTCTTGATGAGTAGCTTTGATGGGTGCAATTGGAATCACACATTATGGTCCATGTTTGCTTGTGTTTTGCTTAGGATGCTGTGTGAATCCAGCCAGTTGTTAATTCATTTAATCAGTTATAGATAAATACAGCATGGCATAGCAGACAATGAACCCATTCCATGTTTGATGTATACAGGTAGTCCTCAACTTACAACCACAATTCAGCCCAAAATTTATGTTACCAAGTGAAAAATTTGTTGAGTGATTTTTGCCCCATTTTACGACTTTTCTTGCCACATTGTTAAGTGAATCACTGCAGTTGTTAAATTAGTAACACAGTTGTTAGGTGAATCTGGTTTCCCCATTGATTTTGCTTGTCAGAATGTTGCAAAAGGTGATCACATGACCCCAGGACACTGCAACATCATAAATAGAAGTTGCCAAGCATCTGAATTTTGATCATGTGACCCTGGGGGTGCTGCAGAATATAAAAATATAAAAATAAACCTGATGTACTTCAATACTTTGATCTCACAGTAACCAGATAGCTCTAGTTAAGATTTGAGTATCCTAGTATTTTGTTGACAGGTTATTTTGTATGATTTTGTCTAATCCTTATTTCAAGTAATAATTTACCTTGTTGAGGGAATCCCACAGATTAACTGTATGCTCTGAAGCAAGATTTCCTTTTATTTGTACTAAATCTCTCAGCATTACTTAAATTAGTTGCATTGAAATACTGCCATTATAGGAAAAGGGGAAAAGCTTTATGTTTTAGCATCATTGTCATCTTCTCTAGTATCTCTTTTTTTTTTATGTTTAAATAAAGCTTTTTTCTTTAAGGGAGAAATTGACCTAGATGCTTTATTGCTTTTTTCCTGACCCAAAATTGTACTTCATATTCCAAGTGTGTCACATGAAAGTTTCAGCTATTTCAGTTCCTTTCCAATTAAACTGTAACATGGTTTTACTTTTTTTCTCAACAGCTACACACTGGATAAACTTTATTATCCAACTGACCACCCAAACCCTAAGATCTTTACAGATGGGGTTAATTTCATGAAACAATTATGAAGTTGGGTCTTTTGCCTCATTATGAATCACTACACTTGCATAAATTGAGCTGAATTTGCCATTTCACTATCCATTCCACAGATCTGACCATTAAAAATTTCTTTTTTCTTTTTAATTTTAATCACTTTAAATTAACAATTTGTAATGGCATTGCTCACCCCAAATCTAGTTCATCCATAACAAAATTCAAAATCACTAGTCTTAATTTAGATATCTCAGACAATTCCTTGAAAAGTATAAATTTAGCCATTAAAAATCCTATCTTCTTGTTCATGAATGCAAAAATCATGGACTTCAGTGAGAGATTTTGAAAGCCCAATTACATGATTACTGAACTACCTCTGTCTATAGTCTTGTTGACATTCAGGAAATTCTGAACCCATTATTTTTCCTAAACCATGTTTGTTCTTACTGAACCCTTTATATACTGAATACATTTATATTTAATAATTATTTTCACCATCTTATCCAGAATACAGATAAAAATACAGATAAAACATTATCATTTACATGAATTTTTTTCCTTTGAGCTCCTTTTAATGAATGGCTTTCAGGTCTCTGGTAGAGAGGAAGATCTTAGGAAAAATTACATATTTTTGACAGGTCAGCCATTTTACTTAGTTGAGAATTCTCATATGGAGACTATTTCAAGTCAGTATTTTTTTCAATTTGTCAATAAATTCTAATGTTCCATTTGTTTTCTCCACTACCTCAAAGTAATCTGCCATAGATACCTGCAGCAAAGACCAAATTCACACAAGTTGAAAATTACTTAGCATTTCTTTAACTCTCTTGTCCCTTCTCCTGCTTCTAACACAGTTATATGATTCTGTATGTTATTAGAGAGAGGGTCCTCTAAATCCTATCTGTGAAAATTTATGTATTTTTTTCATTTTCCACTTTCAAGCAATAGAAACTGCCCTTTTCTAATAGTTTAGTAACATTATTTGCTACCAGTTTTCAGACCCTTGCATTCTCAGTATCTTTTCCAACCTATCATATATATTTTAGCTGAATTTCCACTATCCTAAGAAGTAATGGGATATTTTATATTTTTGTGTGCCAACACATACTATAGCTTGAAATGTTTTCTTTTGAATTAAATGAAACCTGAGGAAGTTCTCAAGAATATTTCACTTATGCATAACGGAAAGTAGATAGCACTGTGGTTTCTGCAAACTTTCAAAAGGTTAAATTAACCACATTGCTGTTTTCTTTTCAGCCCAGTAAATCTTCTGAACCAACCTTATTGGATTATTCTATTTTGTCCCACAATGATTGGCTTCTGCCTCTTTCCATTCCTACTATTTAAGAATCCTATTCCTATGAATTCCTCATCAGGCAAAATACATTCAGTAATATGCCTTATAAGTGAGGGGTGTCAAACTCACAATGTCACGTGACGTATTGCGACGTATCGCGACTTTTTTTCCATTGCCGGTAATGGGGTGGGCGCATTTTTGCTATGATGCATCCTGCCCATGGGCCGGCAGTTTGACACCTGTTATAAGTAATCTTTTCTGAATCCATTGTTGATCACCATCTAAGTTGTAACAAAAACAAAGGAAGTCAGAAGGAAGCAGGGCATCAACCAGGCAGAAGCAGGTAGCGGTGGCCAAGTCCAGAGGCCAATTATGCAAAGGTAGGAAGATCATTGTTTCTTTCTTTCTTTCACTGGAAAGAATGACGTAGAATAGAATAGCTGCCATCACTAAACCAACGTACAGGGAAAGTAGTTGTTTTTAATGTTTTATGTTTAACTAGTTGCGTTTGTAGTTTTTAAAATGATTGTATGTTTTTTAAATCTTTGATTGGGAGTCACCCAGAACTGGTTAAAAGATGGGCGGCTATATAAATGTTTTAAAGAAATAAATAAATGGCATGTATCTTTCCAACATGCAGGTCTTTATCACTGAATATTGTTGTGAGTAGGATAGAACCACCAGTTTAAGGACTTTGCAAGGAACATATAAGCCTATAATTTAAGCTTTAATCGGCATTGGATTAGGGCTAAAAGCATCTAGATTCAAATTTACTCTTGGCCTTAGAAGATTGCTGTTGACCTTAACTTAGGCCAAATACTATCACTCAGAACAATCTACTTTGGATGTTGTTGCTTCAGAGGGAAAAAGAGTAGAGAAATAACTGATACCTGTGTGGCCTTTAATATTTGGAGGAAAGCATGTAGGGAAAAATGGCAAGGTTTCAATCATGCAGTTATGGATACCAGCTTTTTAAAAAAAACACTGCCTTTCATCTTGCATATCTCCTTATTTTTATTTCTATGGGGAGGTCAAGCAGATGTAGAAAACAGAAAGAATCTGATTGTGAAGAGGGATCAGAGCAGGTTATCAGATCTCATTTTATTGTTTCTAATGACAAAAATCAAAAACAAATTGTCCTGTCATATTTAAATTAAATTCATATCCGAATATTTTAGAAATCATAAAATGTAATTCTTTAAAATAATCTTTTTTAAAAATATGAAAATAAATGCCTAAGGGCTATTTTGAGTGAAAGAAAGAAGTAAACCCTTTCCTAATGGCCAAACTGCACCCGTCTGCTTCATTTTCACCTGTGTGGTTTCAAGTATACATTTACTTTTGCAAAGTAATTATTTACAATCTTATGTGGAGACAGGAAAATCAATTCCATAGGTCCTGGGTATGGCAAAAGATACCAGCAGTTAAAGAGTTATGCAAGTCCTCCTGTTGCCAGTTCCACACAAGAAAGTTTATATATTTAAACAGTTTTCCTTTTAAGGAAAAAAAAGTATCTGACAGACCTTTATTTTGCATTAAACACTGATTTGCTTATGAGCTTCAGAGTTAGGTGTTAAGAGTTAGGTGAGTCAAGAAGTAGGAAGGACTATCTCTGCATGTATTTAGACATTCTGAGGAAAGCATTTTATGAATGACCTCTTCATAATTAACTGTGTTGGAAACTTCTCTCAGAACCTGCCTTCCTTATACCCTTCTGGATTTTAAAAAAGCTCTTACCTTGTGTATTTGTTCCCACCACACAAGAAGCTAGAGCCTAACATCATGCAGCTGTTTCTTTGCAGAGAATCTGATGCTACTTAGAATCATGCTCTTTTTGGCTTTATTGGATAGCTGCTCAAGGAGTGGCTTGGCTCTCACCTTGTCTAATTTCTTGGAAGCTTTGAAGCACAAATGAAAGGGAGGGGGGGATGGATGCCCTGTTTTGCAGCAAGCTAGTAGCAGAAACTTTGGCTGAGAAGAGAAACTTCTCAGAGCTCATATTCTTGTACAGCCTTTGCAGACAGCTGCTGTCAGGATAGTCATCCAAAAACAGAGGGGAGGGGAGGTCTCTATCGCCTTTCTAAATCATTGCTAGTTTAACATTTCCAAATGCCGTATCAAAATCAACATGCCAATCTTATTCTAATATTGTCTACAAATTATTCCAGCACTTAATTTTATTTCTGATTTCAACCGTATCAATGTTCAGTTTGGACTTTATGATGCTTTTGTCTCTGTAAGTTGCCTTGATGGAGAAAACAGGGTAGAAATTCAACAGATAAAGAGCATAATAAATAAAGCTCAGCATAGAGAGAAAGTCAAACAGGATAAACATGCTCAGAAGAAATGCTGAGCTACATCAAATGTGGGGATGGGGTCAGTGGTGGGATTCAAATATGTGAACAATGGGTTCTCTGTATGGATGCTGCTTCCAAAAGTCCATTCTGGGCCTGGGCAACAAAACATTAGCCACTGGTTCTGCCAAACTGTAGATCCAGGGTGAAAAGAGCTAAGTCACCATCACCAATTCATCAGGGGTGGTTCTGACCTTGCTTAGGCTAGCAGAAACATAAAAAGATGGTTAACAAAGTGTTAACCCTTCTTCCAATTGCCAGAAACAGTAGTAGCCTTGTGAAAAGGGTGGCCTTTGAGGCCTCTGATTTATTTTATTTAGTCCCCCTATAGATCCAGGGTGAAAAGAGCTAAGTCACCACCACCAATTCATCAGGGGTGGTTCTGACATTGCTTAGGCTAGCATGGATATTTACTTTTTAAAATAGGAAGGATAAAGACAGCAGAACAGCTAATTTTCCACAGAGAAGGCTGGGATCTTAATAAAAATGGCTGCTTTCTTAACTCTTTTGTAATATCCCTCCTCAGAGTAACTATTCCCCTTTTAAAAAAAATTTCTCCTTGGAATCATGATAATAAAATTGTGTATGTCATTGAAAGGATCTTCACTTCCCTGACAGAACGTGGGAGAGCCTTGGAAACCCAATAAACACTTCTCGGGCACATTTGATGTCTTGCTGAGAATGGGTTGTCTCTTCTGGATTTTTGGGGTCTCCAAGCGTTTTATCAAAGTATATATCCACATACTGAAAAACATTTCTCAGAGGCTTTCCTCTTTTTTTTTTGCCTTGAAATGATTTGGCTGCATTCAAATCTAGCACTCTGTTAATGTATCCAACAATGGTTATTTCACCTCCATGATTTGTATTATTGCAAAAACTTTCCTAAAATTGTTCCTGGATCTTATGTGGAACATGGATGGCAGTGTTAAGGTTTTAATCTTCTTTTTCTTAATTTCAGAATTAAAATTCTTCCTTGTCTTTTTATGGTTCCAGTACTTCCCAAGAAGATGATTTCAGATAAATTACCGATCCACTTTTCTTTGTCTTTCCTGCTGCTGAATATTTGTCCTATTTTGTTTTGTTTGCTTTACCAAGTTAGCATGATCTTGTTTTATATGTGTTTCTTGTACATTATGTATGTTTTTATTTATTTCTGCAATTTATGTACCATGTTGTTATTTGTACACACTTCCATCAGTTTACAACAAAAACATATTAAAACCAAGTCCAAAATATAATAATAATAAATTACAGCAATACAAGTTGTGCACATTCATCATTCTCCAAATGCTCTCTGGGAAAGCTTCGTTTTTACTAGTATTTAGAATCCATTAGAATGGTCTTCTCAAGAAAGAAGCTGTTTCATAATTAATGGACTGCCACAGAAATTCATTGTTAGACCAATCCCTCCTTATTCTCTGCATAATGGAGACTATTAATTTTTACTAGGAACTGCACACCAGAGAACTAAAGAAGCCAGTCCTGAAATACTTCTGAAGCCTAAAGAGTCAATCCATATTGGGCTTTATAATTCAACAACACTTTGAATTGCACTTGAAAACCTATTAGTAACCAGGGACTACATGGCTATGACTACTGTTTGCCAGCAAGCCAATTTCTGCTTCAAAATGGTCTTCAAGGGAAGTCTGCTGTAAAGTGCCAGGGAATAGTCCAGTTGTGTTCTGATACAAGCATAGATCATTATTGCCAGGGCCTCCTGCTCCTAGTAGAGCTGCAACTGGCACACTAGCTGAAATTGAGCAAAGGCCTTCCTGGGCAAGCTTCACCTGCCTGTGAAGCAGTAGCTATGAGTCTAAGAAGAGCGCCAAGTCCCTAAGTCCCTTTTCCTATGTAGTCCCACCCCCTCTATAATTATAGCCAGAAGCCTTCTAAATAAACAGCAATTTGAGAGGATTCAGACTAAGATTGCTTTTTCTCATTTCGAATCTAACAGCCTCAAGACACTAGATCAAGATTTCCATGGCAACTCCAGACTGTTTCCACAGAAATCCTGAAGGATGCTATGATCAGTAGTGAATACAGTTGAGAAGACTTAAGACCAGAAGCAACACATTCTCTCCCCTCAACTGGGCCATAACAAAAGTCATCCATTAGAGTGAGATGGATCATCTCATCTTATGCTTGGATCGGAATTCAGAACAAGAAGGCACTAGGTAATCAGTTCCTCTAAAGCAGGGGTAGGCAATCTTGGCTCTTTTATGATTCGTGGACTTCAACTCCCAGAATTCCTGAGCCAGCATGGCTGACTCAGGAATTCTGAGAGTTGAAGTCCACCAGTCATAGAAGAGGCAAGGTTGCCTACCATTGTTCTAAAGCATTCCATAATCAAGTCACTACTACTTTCTTATGGTGATTTTATTTAATTTTTATGTTATTATTTTTTTGAGCTTTTAGGGTATATAAGATAGATGGCTATATAAGTCTAATAAATAAGTTTTTTATTTTTCTCCTCAGGATTCCTGTCCATTCAACTCTCAACACAAAATGTTGAAATTTTAATTGAACATTCAAGACAAATTGAGGGTTCTGGTGATGCATTGCCTACCCTGTACCCAAAAGTTTCCATTCCTCACCTGGTAGAGGTGGTTTTGAATATGGGGTTGAGGAATCCTAAAAGTCAAATCAGATTAGTTTGACATGATCTGTCCTTAGTAAAGCCCTGCTGCTTTGGGCCCATCAAGTTGTGTGCTTTTAAATGTTTGTTAATCCTTTTTTTCAGGAGTGATTCCATTAACTTCACTACCACAGATGTTACGTTCACTGATGTATGGTTTCCAGCTTCTTCCTTATCCCTTCTTATGGATGGGTACAACATTAGCTGTTAACCAGTCATGGGGAACTTCACCTGTTAGAAAAGACTGGTTAAACAGATCAGTTAATGATCCAGCAAGCACACCTAGAAGCTTCCTCAGAACTTGTAATGAATATCATCTGGACTTATTATTTTATTAAGCTTTAAGCGGGCTAGCTCACCTGCCACCTCCAAAAACACCGAAAAGAACCTGCATTGCACGGATTAGTAGGATCCTCCAACATGTTTTAGTTACTGGCATCTACTTCTGAGAAAACTGTGCAAAAGTATAAGGATTTGTAGTGGTAGGTGACAATGACCTTGAGAGATAAAGGGAAAAGATGCTGCCTAGGAAATAAAAAGAGGGCGGAGCCTGCAGTTGGTTAATAATCAGGGACAGAAACCTAGGAAAGACCCATCCTAATGGATCAGGTTGTTAAAAATGGTGATGGGACCTGCAATATACTGGTAAAGTATCCTTCAATAAAGTAGAATTAGCTCATCTGGTTGTGTTTCTTGATTGGTTTACCTGGGAGGGCTGACAAGATTATATACAACCCTTGATAGCTCACTGTGACATACTGACTAGACAATTTAAGGATTGATTAATTTATAACCACTTAGTCTCTGCACTTTTAGCAAATGTCCAGGGTATGAACCGGTCAGATTTTTTTAATGGGTTTCAGTTTTAAGGCTTAATGAGGCAGACAAGGTTCTTGGCTGAAGCCAATCACATGCTTATTTGACCCTGGTCCCTCAGGGTTTATTTATATTTAGTAGGAAGGGAGTGTATAGTTGGATCCAGGTTATAAATTCCTCACTCTTAAGGAGGCTGAAGAAAGATCTCTTATGGGAAAAAACCTCATTAGATCTAGATAATCTAAATTATAGCATGTTAACTAAAATTCTCTTTCTGGACAAAAGGACCTAGTGTATGGATGAAACTGATTTTCTTAATCCATTTCACTGCTGCAGACTATAGTCTCAAAGTACACTCAGGAACACTGGTTCTAATGAACTAAACATTCTGCATATGTTAAGTAGCTCTTAAATGCATGACTTCATATCATATGTATCCATTTTTAATTTTTATTGCTGTCCACATGTAACTTTGTAACTTTGTTTTTAAGATATGCCTCCCAGAGTCTCTACAGAGATGGCCAGCTATCAGATAGATCAGACCAGAAAATCAACTCCAAAGGCTAAAACTACTCTAATTGAAATGAGCTCGGAGCCCTCTCTGTGGGCACACGTGCCGTTGCCCCAGCCTCGCCTCCCCCCGTGACCCCCTCCTCTCCAGCAACCCCCCGGAAGGAGAGTCACCCCTGAGCGTGGCCCATGCAGAGCAGCACAGCCAAGGACATGGCAGCCAGACAGCGTAGACAAGACTCTGCCCCACACCCCATTGTGCACAGCTAATGCTGCAGGGCGTGGGCAGAGGGCGTGACTGCCATAGCGCTGCTGGGCTGCCTGGGTGATCTGCGGGGGGGCCCTGGAGGCAGTGAGTGGCCCTGCAGGCAGACGGGAGGGTGATGGGGGAGCAGAGTGGGGGGCAGGGGGCGGAGCCAGGGCGGGATCAGTTTTGGGGCACTCGGTCTCTAAAAGGTTTGCCATCACTGAGCTATAGTAACAAAATCTGGCAAGTCTGATTGTTCTGTACTTCTTCCTTCTTATACTTGAGTGATTTAGAGAAGGATCTGCCTAAGCTACTTCCAAATGTTATTACATTGTTCTGGGCTTAAAAAATATTCCAGTGCCTTTTGTCTAAGAGTAATAGTTTCTGAATATTCCCTTGAAGGTTATCCTCCTTACTTTCTACATCAGTCTAATATATTTGTAAATAAATAAATAAGATGGCCATATTTTTCAGCTCTTTTCAAGGTTCCAGAACAGCTGTAAACAGCAGTGCATCAAGGTTTTTTAAATTCAGATATTTATGCTTTACACTAGTATATTCTAAAATGCATAATAATATATTCTAAAAATCAAATTCAGACAAATGATTTTATTGAATGATAGAAAACTATAAATACCCTTTTAAAAACCCTACAAAGTTCAGAGGAAAATTAAAATTAAACCAAAACCTTGGGTTTTGAAATTGTTATCAATGGATTCAGTAATCTACATTTTCAACCATCTCCACAGGACCCACTATTTTCACCCAATTTGCTGTATCACATGTATTTTGTGTTCTTTTTTTTTTCCAAAAATGACAGTTATGTAATATGTTCTGGGGCATTTTGACCTTAAAATTTGCCCAAATGTTCCCACAGGCTTTCAGCTGAACTTGGCAATATGATGAAATACTGTTCCAAGATTTAGTTCTTCTAAGAGACCCTTCATAACATTATTATACGATTTTTAGAAAACCATCATAACTCAGGCTATTTGTGACTTATTTGGTTAACATCATCAATAAACTGTTCTAAGGCATACTGAGGCAAAAGGGAAAAATATGAATTGGGAAATTGGTTGCTTTGCTGAAAAATAAGAATAAGTTTAACCTTCAAAAAAACCTTTCTGGTTATTTAGTGGATCAATAACTACTACTTCTATGCTTGCAAAACAAATATGCACAATGAAGAGTGAACTTAAAAATGAACTGACAAATGTATCAATACTGTATTTAAGGCATAAGATTTGTATCTAGCTTGAATCTTAAAAAAGAATGCAGAATACTAATACTACTGCAACCAATTTTGGTCACTGCAATCGATTTCGATCACCATACTATAAAAAAAATGTTGAGACCTTGGAAAAAATTCAGAGAAGAGCAACTAAGATGATCAAAGGCCTGGAGACTAAAACATATGAAGAACAGCTACAGGATTTGGGTTTGGCTAGTCCAGTGATGGCGAACCTTTTAGAGACCGAGTGCCCAAACTGCAACCCAAAACCCACGTATGCATTGTCGGGTGCCGGGTGGGCATGGCCCATTGGGTGGGCGTGGCTGCGGTGGTAACAGCAGACTGGGTGGGACTAAAAAGTTTAATCAATCAATTCCAACTTTGCAAGATCTTTTTTTCCCCCGTGAGAAGTTGAAATTGACTGATTGAACCTCTTTTTTTTTTGCACACGGCAGCGGAGGCCTAAAGTGAAAAGGTTTTATAAAACCCAGCTGAAGGCCTAGGACTGGGGCGATGGCGCACGTGCCCACAGAGAGGGCTCTGAGTGCCGCCTCTGGCACCCGTGCCATAGGTTCGCCACCACTGGGCTAGTCTAAAAAAAGAAGAAATAAGGGTGACATGATAGCAATATTCAAGTATTTGAGGGGCTAGCACAAAGACAAGAGAGGTCAGATTATTCTCCAAAGCACCAGAGGGCAAGGCAAGAAACAATGGTTGGAAACTGATCAAAGATAGAAACAACCTGGAATTAAGGAGAAAGTTTCTAACAGTGAGGACAATTAACTAGTGGAACAGCTTGCCTCCAGAAATTGTGGGCACTCCATCACTTTTTAAGAAGAGACTGGATAGTCACTTGTCTGAGATGGTGTAGGTTCTCGTGCTTGAGCGAGGGGCTGGACTAGAAGACCTCCAAGGTCCCTTCCAGCTCTATTCTATTCTTCTATTTTTTAAAATAATTTCTCTTCAGAACAAAAATCTTTATTTCTCTTATGGTCTAGAGCTACCTTTATTTTTCCATAAGAAAAAATAAAAAGCGAAGATAGAAGAATAGTAATCAAATTTTAGACTTCCAGAACAAGCATCAGCAATAGCATCAATACAATTTATGTACCATCTGTTCATTTAAGGTGAACTTTTTACAAGCAAACCATGTCTTATACAAATGATGTCTCATCTGATTTTCACCCACACTGCTTCCTAATTAATAATTTTATCTGAGTAAAGCAGCCTACAATATTCCTGCTGTGGGCACCTTTGCCATGCATCAATCATCTAGTACAGTACTACAAAACATAGAGAACAAGGTAGAGTTACAGTACAGTTCCAGATCCTTCATTTCATTAATTACATTTCACTGAGATTTTCAAATAAAAAAAATGGAGAAAAAGAAGTTGGATTATTTTCAGTTTTTTGGCTTCCTCAAATGAATGATTCCCAAACCTTCCTTGTCTACTCACCCTAAAACTGCTTAGACCCCCCAAATTCCTAATATCTAGGCTATGTTCACCTAACATACTGATCCATGTTTTATAGGTGTATGGCGCCTTGAATGAACCCAGTTCTTAAAAAAAAAAAAAAAGCTGAAGTCAAATGGGGGAGAAAATATACCAAGCACCAAGAAGTACCCAGATACTGTTCAACATTGTCCCAGCCTGTATCTAATTTGCATTATTTACAAAAGTTAAGTAAGCATCTATGTTGGCCTCATGCCTTAAAACATTTTCAGGCTATGATTTAAAGCCAATTAAATTAATAAGTTTCACTGAAATCTATTTTACTTTTCCTAGAAAACAAGTTTAGAAGTGGAACAGAGAAAAATATCTCTTAACACATAAAGGATGGCTACTATAATCCTTTTCTTGACCCAGTGCTAAGGCAAATATTATTTTATTGACCTAGAATGTTACAGTTCAAGTAAGTTTGAGAAACTGTTCACGTTCAGAAGCTGAAAACAGTGGATTCATTGGAAAGATTAAAAAAATAAAATGATACTTTTCTTCACAATTGGAGTGGTATATGAGAGTATTCTAGTGTAGGACCATAATACTGTTACATTCAGACTCTAAGAATATTTAGTTGTATCACCACATACTGCATTGTCACTACTAGTTCTTCTTTCTGAAAACTCATCTCCAGTAAAAAGAATTCTGAAAAGGCTTTACTAGCGGAATATCTTGCAAAATCCACTATGGGACTGAGTCACCAACTGTTACTCGCTCATGCTTCTATGGAACCCTGAATAGGAAAAGGGAAGACATTGGTTTTACTTGGGTCTGAATTAAATACAAAAGGAAGAAACACATACAGTATACTACTGTAGAGGCAATTCTGAGTGTTTTTCTTCCTCTAATTAGGAAGCCCTGCCCGTGAACTCTCGTTTGCTCGGGACAAGGATTTCTCTCTCTCTCTCTCTCTCTCTCTTTCTCCTTGCCCGCCCTCCCCGAGGCAATTACAGGCCCAGCTTTTCTAGGAAAAGGGTTGTGGACTCAGCAGCTGTCGATTCCAGTTCTTGGAAGCGTGGCTGCTTGGGCTTGGAGCAGCACTTCTGGGAATCCTCTGGATCCTTCTGTGGAATGCAACAAGCAAGCGCGCTCTCGCCGTGACCTTAGAACGTCTGAAGACGAGAATCCCGGCAGCGCGAGGAGGGGCCGCGCTGGCAGAAAGGCGGGGAAGCCGCTTGGTTATCTGGCTTGGCGTACAGATGATTCATTTCCCTACTCCTTTCCGCAGGGAAAGTGTGGGAAACCGGC